CTGAAAATCCAGTGGATGCAGCAATTCACAGCCTGGGAGAATAGGCTAAGAGTCTCTTTTCCCTAGTACAGCAACTCGCTTGATCTGTCTTAAGTTCCAAAACTTTGCTATCTAAAACTGCAAAGAAATTCCGTTAAATCTTTCTGCTTGGAACAGCTTGTTTCAGTTTGGAATTGTTCATAAAATTGTCCCAATCAGCTCATAACACTAGTCCCTTTTTTAAATCTCACCTAGGTTCTTCACAAAACCCCTTTCTATTCACATCAACACTATTTTGACATCAGTACAGTGTTTTGACTGTAATAGTCAATTAAGACTTAGCAATCATTTATAGCACTTTTTTTTTTTTTTGTCCCAAACCAGAGTAGGTCTCTCTAGACAAGTGCACTCCGTATCACTTAGTGATGATAGTCCATAACGTATCACTGCAGGCTCACCCATAAATAAATGAGTCGCATCCCGTCACCTTGTGTCCTGCTCCCCAGACTCAGTGGCAATGAAGCAGTTAGATCCGCCTCTGTCTCTAGGATTTACGTTTCCCTGGGGCAGGCTGTTGTGAAGAGCGTTTCTTTCCCCTCATGCCGTGCAGTCCGCATGTTGCCTACCCACCACGTTATATCTGCAGTTGTAGTTCATGACCTAAATTGCTACAGGTCAGGTTTGTTTTGCCTCTTCTAAAACAAATGCATACAAAAATCACTGAGAGTTTATTTGCTAAAGACTAATGGCCTTTCTTTTGTAATATTTATTACTTTGTGATATTGACTTGTTTTGAGACGTCTGTAAAATACTTTTCTACTCTCCTAAATAATAGCATCCAGAATATTTACTAGGACAATGATCAGCTCACACTGGTTTTACTGTATTATTTTCAAGCAGTGAGCAGAAATAGGTATTTAAAATGTAGCTGCCCAGAAAATTGAACAAGAAATAGTTTTAATTTATCGGGAGAATCTATAGGTAATATAGGGATCAGACTGCATTTCTGTGCTCCCATTGGGCTCAGAACTTGTACAGAACAATTCAGTACAGGTGGCTCCATCATGAGGAAGTTGTTAAAATGACATAAGCACTTGCACAGAAAAATCTTCTGACGTGGCTAGCTCAGTTGCAGCGAACTATTGTAGGAATACCACCTCCTAGCATGTGCTTTCTATTTTTCCATGTTAATTCTCTTGCCCATAACTGCATTGCTCAGGTTGAAATGGGCTGTGAAAATGAGGTTGATGTCTTCCTAAGGCTTTTTTACAGATTTGAAAAACTTCCTAGCACTCTGCCAGCTCAGAGAAAATAGCCAGGTGAGGATCTCAGATACCCCTTGTTCATTAGTGTGTAGCACTCGCTAAAAGTTCTTGCACAGCTTCTGCTTGCCCTTCTTATCCATGTGCCCAGTGAAAGAAACACAGCCCTTTATAAGGTGACTCTGCGGGGCTGGTCTTAGAGTGTTTTAAAATATTGTAGAAAGGTATACTTAATTCACCTACCCTTCCTCTTCCATGCACAAATTGCATTTCTTGATATCTTTGCCCTCTTGCAGAGGACTGTATCCCAATGTGATAAATGAGCTCAGTGCTATGAGTGAAGAAGGGCTGAGGAAATACAGAAGCTATAACATGCTCTCCAGGTCAAACATACCTCCATCTCTTGGCGTAAATGAACATATCTGTTCTGCTAAATGTACACCACCTTTGTATCACTTCTCAGTCAGCTGAGAAACGTCTTGGGAAACTTTTGTGCTCATTCTGAACTTCAGCTGTGCGAGCTTGATGTGCTTTCTGTTCTGCAAGTAACTGTAACACCTAATTTCTCACTTATGTCAGCAAATAAAGATTGGATGTGTTTCTAAAGAAGGTGCCTTATTTTAGTCAGAAGTCAAGGGAATTATTTTGGATATTACCGTTCTCTGGCCTGTGTTATACAGGAGGTCAGATCAGAAAATTCAGCCCTAACATTTATGAATTACTGTCAAAATTTGGCACCAGTAACAAAACTGTCCTTTTAAGAATCCAAGTCATAACCAAAAAATCTATACAAATTATGGTGGTTTCACATTACATAGAATTAAAAAAAAAACAACCAAAAAAAACCCCAACAGTTTTGACTCATTTGCATGGTAGAAATAGGAAAACTTTTTTCTATCTATGTTTCAAGTAATAATTGAAAACTCGAAGTGTCACGTAAGTTTTGCTAGTTTTCTGCAGTGTCATAATAGTGTTGAGATGCGCAGTGATGAATGTGATTGCCCTAAGGATCGTTACGTAGTTCACTGCAGGGTAGGGCGAGCTATGTGGTGTATTATACATACTCTAATTTCTCATTGCATCTTCTTTGCGTAGCTGTCCGACTCCAGGATGTGATGGTAGCGGTCATGTAACAGGAAACTATGCCTCACACCGCAGGTAAGAAACAACAGGAAGCCTAAAGCAGGAAACAGAGCTACTTTTAGCTACTGTCATCTTTGAACATTTTTATACTAACCATCGATAAGTATTCAAAAGTAACTTGCAGAAAATAATCCATACAGAAATGTGGCTGGTTTTGTTATATTTCGTGAAGGTCTGGACTCAATAGACTGGTGGATATTCTTATAACTGGAGCTGCATTTCTTAGCTGAGACCTGTAGATAAGTCATTCAGTAACATTTGCATTTCCCAAAGTGTACAAGCACTTGCCATACAGATGCTGCTGCACAAGCTTTTAAATGCGGTTTCTGCAGATATCTCTATGAATGGCTTTGAAATTCATAGATCTGCTAACATAATCTGAAGATGCTAAGTATTTTCCTCAGAATAGCCTACTGTCAACCTAGGGGTTGAAACAATCATCTCCTGCCTTTCCTTTTGGGAGCAGGATGCAAGCAGTTTCTGCCTTTTCCCAGCCACATGGATCAGATGCTCTACCTGCCCTTCGTGTAGGCAACATAAAGGAAAGGCTCTGTGTACCGCTGCCTCCCTATGCGAAGCTTTACAGGGACTTAGAAACCTTTGGCCCTAACCATATATCTTTCCAGTAATTTAAGAACTACGGCCTGATATTGGCTGCCTCTCCTTTTCCAAGAGCACATACTTGAGGATATATTTTTCTCCATTGTAAGTCATGGATTGTCTGGAGGTTGCTGGTTTAGGAAAAAAATGTCCTGTTTTAGTAAAACATTTCACATTGGGTTTTTTTTCAGTGTTTCTGGGTGCCCATTAGCTGACAAGACCTTAAAATCCCTTATGGCTGCTAACTCTCAGGAGCTTAAGTAAGTATGGGCAACAGCACAAATGTTATTGTTATTTATCTTTGATCAACATGTTCCCTACATTAATGCAGTTGTTCATTTGAATTGCTCTGAGTTACATCAAACCTTTGTCTGAAACTTGAAGTGAATTGGTTTGAAAGCTTTTGAGTGAAACAGAGTTTACTTTTCTTCATTTGTCTGTCTTCATTTTTGTACCCCTTCATTTTCATGAATTAACCAGGACCTGGGGGAAAAAATTGTAAACACTAGGAGAGATGCTGCTCTCACAGTATTTCTGAATCAGAGAGAAACAGAAAATGTCTAACACGTAAGACTGATCTGGCAAATAACTCAGTCTGATCCAGTTAGAATAGATTAGAATTATTTAGTTAGAAATAAATATGGTTAGAATAAATCTAAAAATGAGACCAGAACTCCTGCAAATAATTTTTTATCATTCACTACCATATACTATGACTTTAATGTCACTAAAGCAGGCATCAAGTCATATGATTTTGTGCTGGCATAATTCTCACCATGAAATGTCACTTACAAAAGGACTGTGCAGGCTCTGCTATATAGACAGATGTATAGGGACATATGAATATTTCAAAAATCTGTAGTCAAGAGAGGCACTGGCAACCAGTCATCTAGTTATTGAATTGGCTTTGTCAATAAGGATGTGGGGAAGAGGAAAGGATAATTAGAGTTCTTTCATAGCTTTCCCTCTGCAACTTGTAAATTGGATCCCATAATAGATGGCTTGGAAAAACTCATGAATACGTGTAAAAAGGGCAGAATCCCGTGACCGTCCTCTCTGTCCTTTAAGTTCATCCCTAGTCTAGATATAAGAAAATAACTTCTTATCATGGCACTATTATGCTGTTCTAATGGTATTAATAGTAGGAGGGACTACATTTAGGCTCGATTCAGTGTTTAGCTTCCCCAAATCAAATGTTCGTGGTCTTATCCCCTAGTCTGACAACTTGAATTACAAAAAAAATGCTGAACTGATGGTAGCTATGGATTTGAACCTACTGGAGATGAAGCAAAATGGCAAAGAAAGGCAATTTATATGGGCAACTGCTCAAAGCAGTTCCCAAAGCCAGCAGGTAAACGGACACACTGGCACAATGCTTCAGTTTTTCCATCACTGAGTCTCAAAGGTATAAAATTTAGGTTTAGTTTGTTTTAAAAAGAGCAGCACAAGAAGCAAGGAACTGACTTGCGAAAATGCTGACAAATTTGAAATCATTTGCTGAGTCATATATATTTGTCCCTGCTTTTGTTGGCTTTCTGCCATACATAGACACTCACACAAATATTTTGAATAGTTGCTCCTCATGCAGCCCCCCCTTCCCATATTCATGTGTGAATAAGGAAATTTGCATACCAATATGGTTATTTTTCCACTAAAGCTTCTAGAGTTTTGGTCATGCCATAAGGAAAGAGGAGCAACAGCATATGACTTAAATGACAAACTGCACACTGTATGCCATGTATAATAAGTGAGTTGTGAAAGACAAAGTCAAAGTTCATGGACATTTCACAGACAGAAATATGTTGCATAACGCACTTCGCATTTAATTTCAATTAACTAGAAAAAGAGCAAAAATCAAAATCTGTTCACAGACAATTTGCAAAAAGAAAAAGGTCTAAATAAAATTATTTTCCACAAATGTACCCCCTTATTTTAGCTTCCTGCAAACATACTTCAGGTGAAATTTTAAACAAAACTCTGCTTCTGATAAGTGTTTGCTAAATGAAATCTTATGCCAAAAACGGCAATTGTACTGGCACTGGTATAATACAGCGATATTAATAGTTAATTTTACTATTGCAATGCGAGCAGAGGACATAAATGCTCATAGAATCAGGCCACGAAAGTGCCCTCATGTAGTTAGGCATGAATATGAAAAAGCTGTGTATTTTTTCCAAATGTTATTCATGTTTAATTTGCCAGAATCAAGATACGATTTTGGCTTTAATTATGAAACTGTAAGCCAGCAAAGATACAAGGCTTCCATGTGATCTACAGTTTGGAAATAAGGAAGATCTGTTCAGAAAGTGAGCCTTTGAGTCAGATTCAAGAAATTTTTTATCTGAGGATTCTTGCTGCACAGGGCAATTTAAGGCGGTCAAATTAAAACATACTAAAGTTGATGATGACTCAGATTTTAAAGCTATAAGCGATAATTATGACTGATTATCCTATTTCACCAAAGAGCTTGCTTATCAAGCCTTAAAGAATTTTAAAAGTGTACTTTAGAAAGATATTTGCTTACAGTTCAGAAACTTTAAGGAGTAGATAGTCAGTCCTATCCTTAGACAAGTTGTTGCAGTGGTTAAATGTCAATTTTTAGGAGAGATTCTAGCAGTTCTTCTAGACAGGTTTCACACAAGGTGTTGATACGGATCCATATACCATAGGCAGCATGACATATTTCAGTCCATGGTTTTCTCAGCTGACCTCTGTGGGTTTGCCTTAACTACAGTTCATATCCAGTCATCCCTGTGAGTTTTCTAGGGAGTAAAAGTACCGGACACGCTCCTAGATCTGCAGCTCAGCGTATAGATTTTACATGCAGTTGTAGTTCGTTTAACTAAAGATAAAGTAATCTTCCTGGAGAAGGGAACAAAATAGCAGGTGGTCTGTTAAAAAAAAATATTTATATATTATATAATTAATATAAATTACTACAAATTAAATAAAATAGTTTAAAAATTACTGTTATAAGAATTTCTATGTGAAATCACTGAGAGATTTGTTCTTGGAAAACAAACTTGATGAATTGTAAAAGAATCTGTAACCTACACCCACTTGAGAGTTGACATCTTTTAGCTTGAGCTCCTGAGGCCTCTGGCCGTCCAATGTAAATCTGATTTTCTTGGCTCTGCAGAGGTATCCATAAGAGAGGATGACTCCCTAAGCTGGGGCACCGGTCCAAACTCATTAGCTAGTTAAAAGCTGATGAAGATCCAGAGTATTACTGACTGTAAGGCATACATTGTTGGTGTATCTTGTGTTGTGGAATTTCACAATCCATACAAAGATATAACCAATATTTGGAAAATCCAACCCAATGGTCAAGCTTGGGAGCCTTGCTAGTGAAGCTTCTTACTAATTTGTCAGTAATCCACCTGAAATATCATCTTATAATTTCATCAGTATTGATAATATCTCAGCCTCAGATCTTTAATGACCTCAAGAATACTTTGGACTCTAATCTGGTTGTAAAATCTATCTGCTGCCAGAAGTGTTAAATACAGATGGAGAGACTTAAATGTAGTTCAGTGCCTTTTTTAAGTCCATAACTCTCAGACTCTCAGATCTGAATGTCTCTCAGAAAGAGCTCTTACTGAATTAAAGTCCACGTCCAGTCTATGCGGACAGCTCTTCCATCTGTGATCATCTGATAAAACAAGTAGCCAAAATTAATACCCATAGTATTTGGCAGGTGTTCTGGATTTACTTGTGAGCATTCACACTCTCCAGACATCTGCCCTTCCTGCCTGCTCCGCATGATGTTGTGCCCAGTCCTTGTCCCACGCTCAGACAGGTCAATATTTAGCTCTGCACACTCGAGCGTATCTGGCACTCTGCAACCCACACCTCTACCTTCGCTGTCAGTGTGAGACATGTTCTTCTGCCAAAATATTTTGTTCACAAAATGTCATCATGAAATGTTTTGACGTTATCTTTAAAAAAAAAAAGTCTCCCCTTTCTTCAGTTGAAATTATTTGCTGAATTCTACTTGAATCAGTGAATAAATTTGGTCATGTCCAAAGGAAATCACATTTTTGACAAATTAATTGTTCACAGAAAAATAGTTTTAAATATTCTGTGAAGAGACACACCTGCACACTCAGATGTCCTACTACAATTATATTTGTGAGTGTTTTCCATGCCAGCCTATCAATGACTAGATTAAATCGCCCACCTCCTCACCTCAGGAAAGATTCAATAACAACTGAGACGCTTAAAAGAGTATTGAACAATGCAAGTTTCCTTAATCGTTCAGTACAAGATTATTTGGCACAACTCTTTCTGTAATTCTGGTACTCTATAAAAATCATAGCATTCAAAAGGCCCTTAGGGATGCTTAGCATAAGAACTTTGTGCTGTATAATACAGAAACACAGAAATGGCTGGCATAACTTCTAAAGGTAAATTTTTTTTTTTTGTGCTGCTTTGTATGCTGAGAAGTGTTGAAAAAAAAACAAACCAAAACAAAACAAAGACCCCCACAAGAAATGCAATAGCCTTAAATGAAAAAAAAAACAAAAAACGTATATCTGAACTTCTGAGATGGAAGGTGTTACCAGGAAGGTCCTGCTCCAAACCCCACGGAAGTCAGTGGAAAGCCCTACTGACCCCAGTAGGCTTTTGGAGCAGGTTCTTCATGTACGACCAGCAAGCAAGAAGCCCACCCCCATGCAAATCACTGGCAAAAACACAGTAACAGGCAGGTTTATTTCTTTTCATCGTATGGATGTTTTAGTATTAAACATTCATACTTGAAAAGGTTTGTTTGTTGCACACAGACACACAGGGAAACCCCCTAACTGTGAGACATAAGCATAATCCAAATGCCAAACTGAATACCCAATTGAATCTAGTGCTAGAAAGGTATGGTCCTGGTGTATGCTTACAGTGCTAGAATATACAAACTATTAAATTCAAATTCTGGCTATCATCTACTGATGTCCGAAAGTTAAACTGCTTCTCTGCTTCCGTTTCCCCTTCTGTAAATACTGGCAAGGTGCTTATTTATATCTGTACCTGAAAATATCAGAAGAATAACAAACACACACATAACAGTAAATTTACAAACAGATCTATATCAAGCTGCTTTGTTGTTTATTTTTTTTGTAATGTTGATCCTGTACAATGAAAAATGGTTGGTGCAAACAGCGCTATAAACTAATTAAATCTACACATCATATGCAATATATTTCAGATTCCTTACCAAAACTCTGTTATTAAAAAAAAAAATGAAAGGAGTCTGCTCATGTAAAATACAAAATCAGCGGGAACTGGTTTTAATTATTCAACAAAAGCTCTGCCGTTCTTTCTTCTACCCCAGACAAAACGTAGAATGTACACGGTATTTACCATGTACCTTTGAAGCCGTACTTTGTAAGCTCCCTGTATTATTCCATAGGTGCCCGACACCTGGCTGTGACGGCTCTGGCCACGTGACGGGGAACTATGCATCCCACAGAAGGTAAAAACCATCCCATCGCACGGGGCTGCAGCGCTCGGGGCTCTCGGCAAGCAGCAGCAGAAAGAGGCAGCTTTTATTCTGTGTGCTTCTTTCAGCTTATCTGGTTGTCCTCGCGCCAGGAAAGGAGGTATCAAAGTGACTCCTACCAAGGAAGAAAAAGAAGACCCTGAACTTAAGTGAGTACAAAAGCTGTGGTCTATCACCAGTGAAGGGAGGGGGGGAAGCCTGTAAGATCCCAGGAGTCGAGGGATCACAGGAGATGCCCCAGTTAATCTGAGCTTCATGAGAACAGGGGCTGGAGCTGGAGCCGAACCAAACGTTTCTGCTTCTAGGGAAGCTGGTGGAGTCCATCAGCTTGGAGCCTAAACAGTGAGGAAGGATTGCTGTATCTGCTTGCATTGGTCCAATTATTTTAAACTGTGCTATGAAAGTGCCACTTGGATGAAAAAATTGGCAAAATGAAGGAAAACAAATTATTTCTGCCTGTAGTGAAACATGTCAGCTAATTAAATCAGAGTGACACCTTCAAAATATCTCCCAGAGAACTTAAATATATGTAAATCTCATGTCTTTTCTCTATGTATATACTAGAATTTCACTTAAAGATGAAACTGGAAATTCAATAGAGATTCACTACGTTCCTGACTTGAATGCACATTCCATTAAAATCAGTAAATGATAAGTGCCAGAATATCGATATGAAGATTTAGTTGCATACAATGCTGTTCTTAATACTTGCTAATGATATATGAGAAGCTGGATAACACTGACAGAGCAGCACAAAAAAATCCCCAAATTTTCTGTGCAAGTATTTGCATGAGCTGGTATAAGTTTTCCAGGTACAGGAACCCACTCTCTGCATCACACCAGAAACCTAGATAGAGAAGAGAGAATCCTGCCTTTCCCTGCTCTTGTAGAAGTGTGATTCATTGCCTGTGATTGATATAATTTCAATTTTCTTTTCAGGTAAAATACTATCTAAATGAATGTTTTAGTTTCTTAGGCTCTACAACTGTATTTTACATTGCCTAATCTTAAGAACAGCTGAACCCTCATAACTCAGCCTGACATGAATTGGATGCTCAGGTACAGTTTGCCTCCAGGGACCAAATCTTAATCCATTAATGCAAAGTGGCACGGGCAGCTGGAATTATTTTCTCAGACTTGCTTGAGACTGTCTTTGCCTGCTCTCTCCGGTGAAAACAGGGGTTCTTTTGCTGTGTTTCTGTAGATGTCCAGTGATAGGCTGTGATGGCCAAGGTCACATATCAGGTAAATACACTTCTCATCGCACTGCTTCTGGTTGTCCTTTGGCTGCCAAGAGACAGAAGGAGAGTCCCGTCAATGGGTCTTCACTATCCTGGAAACTGAACAAACAAGAGCTGCCACACTGTCCTTTGCCAGGCTGCAACGGGCTGGGTCATGTTAATAATGTTTTTGTCACCCACAGAAGGTATAACTTTGTGTTTTCTCTTTTCACTTTTCCTTAACGTTCCACTGTTGAATTGGCAACATGTGAGGTTACAGTCTGAATAAATTGTGCTGAAGTCTTTTGAGTAACAGCATAGTTTACATTGCAGCTGAAGTAATACAGATCAGAATAACTTTCAGAGAGTTGGAATCAATTTTTACCTCTTTTTCTGTGTTTCCATTGCAGCATGATTTTCCAAGGTCTTTTCTTCAGATTAGCACAGTGCCTATACGGTTTAAAATTAAAGAGTTCTTTCCTAGGCAAATATGGAGTTGTATGTGTATATCTTTTATGGAAAACGCAAATATCGTTGAAATGGCAAAAGAAAATATTTAGCAAGAGCAATGGCTGCATTCATGTCATCTTTCTACCAGTGGAAAAGCTGTTTTCATAAACTTTGTATTTAAATAGGTAGAACCACACAAAAAGGTAAACATGTAGAACTCACGTGGATTACACCAGTTCGAAGTTATAACAATCTTACATAGAAAACTATCCTTACAAAGCAGGAATTGCACATATAACCAGTAACAATAAATACCATGATTTTCTATATCACTGTGAAAACATTAGTGTAATTTCACCACGTTAAATCAATATCACTCAAAGAATTTGGCTATAGAAACTGCATTAATACCTGGCAAAGATTGCTCTTCTCTCTGTAACAGAAATTAAGGCTATATTCTATCCCTCCTTTGCTTTCTAACAATCTGAACCAACTTCTCCAATACAAGAATGTCCAAGGTGACTCGAATGAATTCAGAGTCCAGTGTTATCCTAACTTGTGATCTACATCCCATGTTAAAGTCTTTACATTAGGACACTACTGTAAATTTGGGCTAATTAAGTAAATACCATAAATAGTATATTAGCTGATGCAACTCATGCTACAGATGATATATGTCCTACATAAGGCTGCATCACACTCAAGATCATGTTAGTTAAAATGAGGTAGTAAATATAGCTTTGTGATACAATACCCTTTCCTAGGATGTCTGAGACCTAACAAGTAACCCACGGCTTTGAGACATTCTTCCAGTTAGTTGTCTGCTCTGGGCAGAGACACTAAGCAACATTTTAGAACTGGAGAACTAGCGTCTTTCCCAGTATAGCTTTTAGCTAAGCCAATATGAAGCCAAGTTTAACTTGCGAAAGTTTTTTGTGGGTTTTTTTCTTTTTTTGTCTTTTTTTTCCCCATGTGGAAATACCATGTCTGTTAGGATTTTGATTTTTACACACACACAAAAATCGACCATTTTTCTGTGGAACAAATTTTCCTTCACTCCTTACTTGGCTACATCAGAATATAAATCCTTCTGCCAGTTCTTCAGCATATGGGTATTTCTTCTTTGTTATTTATGAAGATAGTATTAAGACAGTGCAATTCATCTTAGCCCTTTAGTGGGCTATAAAAATTGCCTCAGATAATTACCAGCTGATGAAATTGTAAGCTTTGAAATAGCAAAATATAATTTAATGTGAACAGTGGTTAAAAGGCAAACTGACTGTATAATAGAACCATTCTAAAAAGCTATTACAGTCTATAGGGTATATCCAGAGTTATTATTGAATTGATCATTATTATGTATCAACAAAATGATACAATAGTTGTGCACTGTGGAAATCGTCCCATTAACTAATTTTTTTTTTAGGATAGTAAACTTGCCATTGCAAAGGACCATGCTGCACCTCTCCTCTGTAGCACAAGCCCTCGATACAAACAGTAGAGAGTTTTTATTTATAAGTGTTGGAACTTCAAGAATTCCGTAAATTCGTCTTCACATAACTTAACAGTAGCTGCCACTGCTATTTTGATTATTCTGAAATATGCTTAAGAGTTGTTTACTTATCGGTTGAGATTTCTGTGCCAATTTTCAAGCTGGAATATACAGTTAAATGGCTGTTTATGAGTTATGTCATTCCCCAAAGCTATGCTATAATGGAGATACTGATGTGACCTTAGGTACAGAGGTCTGTCCAAGTGCATGATAATATTGCCTGAAAGGATTGTTGCCATTTTCAAGAGGGTGCTAATGATTTTTTTCCTATCCGTTTCAGCCTGTCTGGTTGTCCTCTGAATGCACAAGCCATAAAAAAGGGCAAAATTTCGGAAGAATTAATGACTATCAAGCTTAAAGCAAGTGGTGGTAAGAAGATTTGTAAAAGATGATGACATTTATTTAGATAGAAGGGCCCTGACTCCCATTTATACTTATGCCCCTTTATGCCATGCTGGCATTAATTCTCGCTCCTTTCAATTCTCTTTAGCAATAACAAATCTGAATAACAAAAATCTTTGCATGAGACATTATAAAATTATTCTGATTTACATCATGATAACTCAACATTGATGGTATGCTCTTGTCTTGTCTCAGAGCATTATTTTTTGATTTGGAGATGCTTTCAATATTGTTATTAATAATAAATTATTAGTTACAGATCAGGAGGACTTAGCTATTTGATGACTAAGGTAAGAAGGGATAAATATTGTGTGCAGAAATTGACTCCTCTCCCTAACTTGAGTATTACATCGTTTAGTTCCCGTGCAGTACTTGGACAATTTTCCTAACCCTAGGGTAAAGGAACAATTACCAAATAGTTATAGGGGGAAATATGTAGGAGTCTCCTTTCTTATACTGCATGCTTTAGAAAGTTGGGCATTGAGCCAGGATTCAGGGAACTTAGTTTTTATGCCTCCAACTGCTGAGCAAAACGGTTGAGTTACGTTGGGCAAACGAGTTTGCTTCCATGTGTCCGTGTTTTCACGGGGGCAGCGTCTGCTGCTTCCAGATTTCCCAAGCTGGCTCCCCAGTAGACTCAGGTCAGGGTGCCAGGTTTTAAAGCAGTAACAACAGCAGCACAGATCTCTAGGCAGAGCTGCTCTCAGGGTGATACTCGGCAGAAAGAGGGACATGTACTGCCAGCAGCTGTAGCTGCTCAGTATTTTTCAAGACAAGGCTTTCATTAAACACCTGAAGTTTCTTTCCTTTGCTCTCTAACTTGTGGGGATGTAAAAGTCTGCCTTCCTTTTTTTTTTTTTTTTCTCTGTAATACTTGTCAGCTTCCTGACAATTTCCCTTTTGCTGTCATTTGAATTTCAATATTTATCACACGTAACTAAGGCTGTGCTTCTTGAAGTTATTGTGCACAGAGATTTGCCTGCACAGAGATTTGCCCCTACAGAACTTCTTGCAAGATCAGAAGTGGGTACAGATGAACTTGCTAAAGTCAGCAACTATACTAGTGGAGATACTACCCTGGAGTGTTCCCTGCAAAAGAAAGGTTGCTGTTACGCTTCTTTTAAAACAAAAAAACCCACATGTAAATACCCCCTCATGTTTTATGATAAACTTTCCTCGTTCTGGGCAATTTTTCCTTTCCGTACCCTCCAGCTTGTAATTGCATGTTGCACTGGAAAAAAAAGAATTGTGAAACACAAAAACTCAGAAAGCCCCTTCTGTGGTTCAGCTCATGTATAGGTTTTACAGCTAGGAAACAATTTTGACTGCAAAAACAAAGTAAGAGGCAATTTAAGGATCAATAATTTGATCAAAAGCTTGTTATCTTCCTCTTGCTCAGTAACAAATAACGTAGCTTGTTACTCATACATACATTTACATATGGACATTTTAAATCTGATACTGGGATTTTCAACTATTTGCAGGTATTGAGAGTGATGAAGAAATCAGACACTTGGACGAGGAAATAAAAGAACTGAACGAATCCAATCTTAAAATTGAAGCTGACATGATGAAACTTCAAACCCAGGTATGACATCGACATGAAAGTTTTACTTGTTCTTATGCTATGTTTAAGCACAAGAAATAAATTGAATGTGATGTAAATGCCATGTTTAAACACAGTTAGCCTCCTGTGCACTTGTTTTCTGATCACCCTGTGGCACTTAAAAGTACCAAAATCCTACATACTTTTTTGTAAAATTTGTTTGTTTGTTTTCTGTAACTAAGCAGCAGATTCCTGGGTATTGTCTTAAAGATCTGGTGAATGACAAATTCAGGGTAGTTTGGGGCTGATCTTGGAAACAGAAAAAACATATTTACCAAACAAAACGTTCATTTTCCTTCGTTGACCAAATCATGCAGAATCCCCTGACTGCGGTTTTAGGGAGGATATTAGCTCTTACCAGCACACTCTGACTCCTAATGCAAGTTGACTTTATTGTTGTGTACCTAAGAAAATCTCCCTCGTTCAGATCACCGTCAGTTATTCAAATAGTTTGAATTTTGCCTCCAGGCAACACCTGGTAAAGAATGGATGCCTTTTGCTAATTTGTGTAGCAGACGTGTCTGGAAGCTATGGAAAAGAGTCATTCTCTTTCATTCTTTTGTATACTGGAGAGATTAAATTGGCTTTAAGACGCTGATAGTGGTTCTCTGGAATAAGCTGAAGTTCACCCCTACAGACTCCTATATGCACCTGGGGGTTTGCCTGGGCAGATTGGGTAAAGGCAAAAGCAGAAGCTTGCTCAATATTTTAGGAATAAGAGTTTAAGAAAAAAGTTTCTAAATGAGATCTGGGAACTGAATATAAGTCTGAACTGATCTCAAACAAACTGAGTGTAACCATACCCCTCTGTATTTGTACCACACTGGAATATATAGTGTTGATTTTTTGTAATAACCATCGGATGTATGGTCTAAATAAGGGTGATGTTTATGCCACCTAAGCTGGATCTAAATGATCTGGCTTCACACTGCAAAGGTTGCGGGGCTATCCATCCCAAATTGCACTGCGGGGGGGGCCAGGATGCTGTTCAGTGCCTCAGCACACTTACTTCAATTCTCTCTGGTGATCACTGTGCTGTTTGCATCTATGCAGTCAGATTTCTTCTCCCAGGACTTGCTCCCTGGTGAAGGCAGTCTGACCAGCAAAACCTGAACCGAACTACAGGCGAAGCAACACATCCCCTACATGGCTTGCTCTGTCTCCTTTTACTCTAGCCCAGCCAGGTGTTAGGCTGCTGCAAGCACCCTCCAGAAGTGAGGCCGTAGTGGATTGCAGGCAGGCAAAAAGGCGTTCCTTCCTCTGGGGACAGTTTGATGTGTGACGGGGTGTGAGGAAGGGAAGTAAAGAGGCCACAGCAACAAATATTTAAGTAGTGCAGAGATGTGTGTCCTAACGAGGAGAGGGTGGTCATAACAGCCGCGATGTGACTCCATCGCCCTGTGCCTGGTGGAGCCGGGGCCAGGCGTGGCGGTGGCAGCCCTTGGTTCTGCCCTGCCCCGCTGCAGGGAGAGGAGCTGGGCAGCAGGGAACCAGGCCCTGTCCTTGCTGCCTTCAGTTTTCCAACACTGCTTTTGATATATAAGCCTTCAGAGCTGAGTATATTCCCAGCTCTCTGATGCTAAAAAGATACTGTTTTGCTAGCTTGGATGCTTTCTCCTGCTTTTTCCAAAACCCTCATTTCCATTCTGTTGGTCGGAGATCGTCTTTGCAATGATCGTTGTGCGCTCAACCTCTCCGTTTCCTTTCCACTCAATTTTTCTCTTATTGTTTCCAGTGCCAGCCCTGTCACTAATCCCAACCAGCCCCCAGCTCTTCCCTCCACCCAGGAGCGGGGCAGGAAAGTAGCACAACAGCTAATACCCGTGTCCTTGCTATTATGGTCGATCAGCAGGGATGCTGTAAGAGCAGGACAGCAATGTAAACATCAGCCTCCTTTCTCCTTCCCTTCGCCAGCCCTGCGGCCACACTCTCCATCCCAGCTCCACACTGACCTTCCCCCTGAGCTCAGTTCCCTCAGGCACCCTCCAGTGCCTCCCTGACAGAAGGTTTCTCCATGAGCCAGCAGCAAAGTCCATCAGCTCAGAGTGAATACAACCTCTTCCCTGCTCTCAATATTCCGTGGAGAAGTTATGCCTATCCTAAAAAAAAACATACCTAAGTTTCAGATCTGTCGTGGCCCCTCTCATAATCATGTGACTGCGATTTTGGGTTCAAACTGCAGTTACAACGCTGCCATGGGTCGGTCGGTCTGTGTGTTTGTGCCTGCCTGTGTCTTTTAGATCACATCTATGGAGAGCAATTTGAAAACAATAGAAGAAGAGAACAAACTCATAGAGCAGAACAACGAGAGCCTGTTGAAGGAGTTAGCTGGCTTAAGCCAAGCCCTCATCTCCAGCCTCGCTGACATTCAGCTTCCACAGATGGTAAGGTCACAGCCAGCGGCTTCCCACCTTCTTCGAGACTGTTTTGCCAGCACTTGAAGCAGATAAGCAGGGACCAGCAGCACTGGAGCTGCGTTAGCAGAGAGCTCTTTTAGCCTAATTTACTTTGCAAGAGATGCTGGATGATGAAATCTGTGCGATAGCAGGCGCGGTTGCTTCCAGGACTGAGCCAGCTCTGGTATCTCTCCCCTGTACCGCACCGTGCCGGACAAGCACTCCCCTCATCCTTCCCTATCCGAATGTCCACCCTGCACAAAGAGTGAAAACTTCACACCCGGATCCTTATTTACTCTGCTCCTAGACCAAAACTTTAACCTGTTTCATACAGGTGATTTTTCTGGAGCAAAGAAAGCTCTACCTTCTCAAAAACTCCACGTCCTCAATGTCTTACTTGCAAACCCAGGTCAAATCCACAAAGGTACTTGGGTTTCCAGAGTTAAGTTCCCCCTTCCCAATCTCAAGAGTGTCGCCGGGAGATTAGGTGAGGACAGTTACGAGGATGTCACCCACAATCCCAGGGGCAATCAAACCGCAATAACAAAGCAGGTTACACTGACGATAGTATCTCCACCCCCTTTTCTTGCTTGGAGAGTGTGTGGTTCCCCCAACTCACGCAACTCCCTTCGTTCCTACATGCCCTCCATTAATTTGGATGGCTGCCCTGTTTATGACTTCTCCCCAGTTGCCATATCGCTGCTTTTCCATGCTTTGGGCTTGGGTGTTTGGGTTTTTTTTGGCCTTAATTTTCTCTCCTACAATTATAATCTGTTTTGTCTTCATTTAGGGGCCAATCAGCGAGCAGAATTTCGAAGCATATGTAAATACACTCACAGACATGTACAGCAATCTGGAACGGGACTATTCCCCCGAATGCAAAGCTCTGCTGGAAAGTATCAAACAGGCAGTGAAGGGCATCCATGTGTAGGATGTGAAAGCTGCTGGGCAACAGAAATTACTTAACAGCAGTAAACTCCAGATGGATCTGTTAGGAGTTCATGTACTGCTAAGGGGTGTAGGTTGCCATGCTGCATTTACAATTGCAACATTGCACTAATTTTTTCCCAGCCGACATAAAAAAAAAATAAATAAAAACACAACAGACTATTTGTATTAACAGCAATGCACTCTGTTAGTATATTGTATTTATTTCAGTACAATTCCTTTTTTTTTCTTTTTTTGCACTCAGTTTTTGTAAAGTGAATGTAAAAAGTGTGTGCGACTATTTTTTATATTTTTTATTTATTTCTAATCAGAGAGTTGTTTTTTTTATCTTTTAACAGCATTTTTGCGGCCTGCCATATTTTTACAAATGTGTTTATTAATTTATTTTCCAATGGGATTTTAAATAGACTGAAAGTTATACTGTAAATTAAATAACTTGCTGGGTTTGTACAGGAAGAAAAAAAAAAAAAAAACTATGAAAGTAACAAATGACTGAACCGTGGTTCTAGTTTTATTTTCCTCACATCCTGCTTTTTTATAATGGCTTTGTATCAGGAATGGGTTTGCAGTAACATGAGATGTGAAGATGCATGGAATGAGAAGACAAACGGTGCCCACTAGTGGGGCCCTTGGGCTCTTTAAAGCACAGTATGCTGGAAAACAGTGTGTTAAAGAATACGTTAGCAATAATGAAATATAGCAATCAGCAAAGCACTTGACTTGGCTGTGTGATTTAGCCTATGCGAACGATTATTTAAAACGTTTCAAGAGAACTTCAGATTTATTTTACCACTGCAGGTTTTTTTTTGGAGTTAGCTCACGGAGGGAAATGACAAGTATCTCTAAACAAGAAGGATAATTTGATAGGACTGGTACTTTTTTAGTACGAGACGTTGAGGTTTTAACCAAGTGACCAGTATTGCTATGGCTTTGGATCTGAAAAATGCAAACACATCCCAAGCTGAAGGCTTTGTACATAATGAATTGAACACATCTCCCCTGAAATGGCATTTAATACTGGTTTGAACTTAACGGCAGCTGAGAAGGCAGCGGTCTGGAGAGGAATAATACCACTCCAGTGTAACGGTGGTTGCTTTTCTCTTTGAACGAACAGTAGCAACGCCGTGACTGGTTTCTCCCATCCTTCTTCACTAAGACTAGGCTGATACTGAATTTGTTTCCAGCCTTTTGGTAGGGTACCAAGTGCTACAGAGCGTACAGACAGACGGAGGTGTGGACAGAGGAGCACTTGCGCGGAGGTGCTGGCGTGCACCTCGGTATCCCGTTAGCCTGGGTGTGGAACTTCTGAATCCGTCAGAAAGTAGCGGTTGCTATAACAGAGGCAATGTCTATTTCAGGGATTGTAAGTAATTAAGCATTGTTTCAAAAGTTTTTTTTATATTTATTTTTTTTAAGAAAAAGGTATAAACAACCAGCTAAACTGCCTTTTTTGTATGCACACACACCTCATGTGCATATGTGCCTCAGTGTAAATGTATACATGGATCTAGCGTGTGTTTAATTTTTCCGTGCTATAATGAAAGTGTTTATTTTTATTAGCCTCATTTATATTTAGATTGAATATGATGGCATTCACAGGCTTGACATATACAATTATATTATTACTGTTCCTGCACAAAAGTACTATTCAAAAGTGATTCAACTCTCATGCACTGTGGTCACTGTTCTGCATTAGGTGGGGCTTGCTTTTTGTTTGAGGGTTGATTCAGCTCTCCGATCTTAGTTTAGACAGGGGAAAATGTATGTTCTTAGGAGCTGTGTTTATTTTTAAATCGATTTTTCAAAAGCTACCATATGTGCTGTCTAATATAAATAGGAGGACACCAAACAAAAATTTGCTATTAAAGTTATTGTTCTTGCTAAAAACCACAAAAAGCGAACATTTGTTATACTTGTTAAATGCATACAAGATGAGTTCACTCATTACAAAGACTAAAATTTAATTTACTAAATATTTTAACAAATTTGTTATATATTTTATTTAAGTAAAAAGAAAAAATCTCTTATTGACCTATGTATTTATTACTATGATTTACTATGGCTTCAGGTTAATTTATCCGTGTTTGGTTGTTTGCTCAGGATGTTCTGTGAAGTATGTTTGTATTTATTTGCCTCCCTTGTACTTGATGTGTTTTGTAATGTGCACTGATTTTTTTTTTTCTTTTTGTTTTCCTTTTTTTGTGTTTAAATGCATTGATGAGCTATACTGTAAATTAGACCTTTTGTAAAGAGCAATGATGTATGCATTTTTTAATTTGGAGTAGTTTGTATACTGTTTCTTCATACAATTAATATTTCTTACATCAAAACAACAAAATTGTGTTCTGTGCTGTACATTTGGTGTATGGTAGGAAATAAAATTGATAATGAAACATTGCAGCAAGTTTGTTGGGTGTTTTAGCCTCTAGATACTGACTTGTATTACATTTTCTTAACTGCACCTGGCACGATACAACGCATCAGATGTTTTACTTGCTTTGTGTACAAAATGTGTCATCCCTGTAAGTAAATTTCTGGCATAAATAATTTAATTGGTGTTTTACTTTGTCAATTTGAAAGAAGGAGGAGAAAAACGGAACTACTTAAGAGGTCCGTTCACTTCTGAAGGGAAAAAAAAAATCGAGATAATAATCACTGCATTATTTAATGCATTCTTTTCTTGGCAGTTGTAGACTTCATTTATACTGATAAAGTAGGGGATTTGTGCTGACCTTTAACAGCTGCTAAATGATGTTTAAACATAAAAGCCATTGTAAAGTTTCCAGCAATTCGGAACCGCCCACTGTTCCAGTGCATTTTTCTGCTGAAATTTGCAGTGCTTAGATGTTGCACAAATAAAAATCTGCTGCTTTTAGAAAGACAATATTTCCAGTATCTAATGGACTTTCTTTTTTCACCGCTCATTGCAGCGAAAACAGGCCAGTTTTATTTAGGATGCACGCTAATGGCTTCAGGAGCAATTCTTGTCTCAAACTCCAACTTCCCATGGATAGACCAAGAACAATTTTCATTTAGAAAATAAGGCAAATTTAAAGTCCATAAAATAGCTGGTAATTATTTATTTGAATACACATAGTTAGATACACCAAAATGGACTCTAGAAAAACTGACATGTCCTGCATTTAAATAGAGCAGAGGTTCAAAATTTGGATCATGACATGAATCCTGGACACACACAAATCTCACCGAGTTTGGAGCTGCAGAGTTAGCAAAGGGCTGGGATGGAGACAGACCTGTCCTGGGAAGCTCTGCTCCATGAGGGTTCAGAGTTTTCTTTGCTCTAGGACACTTATCCAAGGACATGCATGAACTGGTTCCTAGGTAATTAATAGTAACTTAAGTAATATTTCTTAATAAATATAAAATTACATTTTTTCAGGGTCCTTTAAAATTGCTTTTTAGCTGTAGACCTTCAGGTCGGCAGACACGAATGGGATAGTCTCTTCTCGCACATCACAGACGAAGCAGAAACAGGTCTCCCTTAGCAATGTGCCTTAATGCCAAACAGATAAAGACTGAGGCCAACATTTTCATTTCGTCTGACTGCCTAAATTCAAATTACAAATTTAGAAGGCCTCATTGTCAGATAGTTCCCACAGCTCATTTTTTAAAGATCTATATCAATTCTGATTATCTGTTTCTAAGATTGGGGGAAGGCAGTGGTTTGAGGATGTTAGGCTCTACGTACACCTAAGAGAACAATGCTGTATTCTCAAATGTTTCTATCAATCTGAGACAGAGACTGTGAGCAAGAAATACTTTTCCTAGTGGTTTTGGATAGGAAATATGATATCCACAGTTAATTAATTAAATTATTATTATCTAAAGACTGTTCTTGCATTCACTTTTAAGCAACGTGTTCTGATAATGTTTATTTCAGTGTTAAAATGATGGTCTTTCTCCAACAAAAAAAGAATTATGTAAACAGTTAAGCCATATTCACTACTAAACTCATATAAGCCATGGAGGGGCAAAAAAATCAAACCAAACCAAAACAACAAACAATGTTGTGCTTGAAATAACCTTTCAAACCATTTCCACCTTCTGAGGTTTCCTTTTTTAATAATTATTCTGTATCTATACCAATAGAAGGGGGGAAAGTGCTTAATTCAGTAAAAATCCATAAATTCCATTGATTGAATCAACTTGAATGGAATTGAAGCTTTAAATATCAAAGAGAAGGAAGGGGAGCAAGAATAGTCAATATTTGCTGTCCTATCGGCTCATGAAGTCTAGCCTGTCGCTTAACTCATCATGATGAAGGTTTTTGAGTCTACAGTGTAGAAAACAGATTCTGTTTTCTACTGCAATTTTACTTCTATTTACTAATTAAGCATCTCTTCTCTTCTGCTGTCTTAGTGTATCTATCTAATTCTGTCATGGCTTTTCCACTCTGTGCCCCTTCATCCTACTTATATTGCACTTTTTTTTTTTTTAAATAAGTCACAGGATTTCTTGATGGGAATTTGTTATCATGCAATGACACAGAGTGATAACAGAAGCCGTCCTCTTCATTTCCTCCTATGTTCCTTCAGTGCTATAGATTCTACCTGTCTTGGTATTTCTGCTATGCTTAAAGTTTCTTTATGATTTATGCAACTGTATAACTTGGATGCTGCTAGATTTGCACCAGACAAAGTCCTTTATTCATCTCGCTCAGCGTACTGTGGGATGATAGAGCTCCATTTAGCTTTTGTGTAATGTAGGACAGTGACCTAGTTTCAATACTTTTCAATATCTCATTCTGGCTTGGTTTTCTTCTGTCTCTTTTGCTCTAGTAAGTCTTAGACAGCCAAGCTTACACATAATTTCATCAAGGATTAGTCTGATTTCCTGTCTGACTTCATGGTACAAATTGCTTCAACTGCAGTTCATTCTTAACGAATGTTCCCAGGGACATCGTCCGAGTAAATCTCAGGACTTTTCAGTTACGTGATAACAATTACTATTCAGGTTGTTGCTCTCTGCTCCTAAAACTGTTAGTGCACAAGATTTTTCCAAACCAGCTTTTGATGCCCAGCTTCATGTCCCTTTA